TTCTTTTTTTTCCTCAGTTATGTAACTACTTTTTGTAAAATCTAATATTGATATAAAATAAAGATATTACAAATAAAAAAAAAATAATCATCATCATCAAATTCCAGTTTTCCTTTCGTTTGATTTTCGTAGACTTGTATAGCGGTTTGTACTTCGGAGTCATCGTCTAAATTCTCAAGTAAATCTTTGTTCTTGTCCACGAATTTGCGGTACGTATCATCTATTTCGTCCTTGTTTACGTTGCCGTAATCCAACATTAGTTGCTCTATTTGGCTGTAAAGGTACGTCATTCTTCCTAAATATCCAGCTCTTGACTTTCTAGCTGCKTAAGCTTTCTCTCTTCTTACATCTGCCATGTTCAAATTCGGATTCGGAAGTCTTATTCTCGCTCCAGCCATCTTTAAGGACGGGTATTTGGATGAATGTAGTGTTTCACAATTTTAATGTAGCCTACGCCGTGTTTGACATTCGTTTGATTTACTATAACTATACAGACGATCCAACTACAACAAATAAATGAAATTACAATAAATATCTAACGAAATATACGAAAAAACTGAGCGAAATATACTTACATACATGACGTCTTCTACACTTACTAGAACTGAAGAAATTTACACCTTTTGCTGTTCATTAGCGTAAATCGTACATTCAYTTGTGCCAAGCGATGCTTCAATAACTTTTATTGCACTTTCTTGAACACCGTAAGCAACATCATTGGCKCGAAACGACTTTCAATAGCGATATTTAAATACGTGCGAGCATTCAACAGTATCAATAGACAATCAACTGAACGACTGGACAATCATTTGGGTGGAACGTTGTTTCATGTGCGCGCAATGAAAATTCAATAGCACCAATTGACAAACGGTTGCATTTATTGACAATCATTCAACCAAAAATGAAACTTCATTAGTGTTATTAGCATAAACATAGGCAATCTATAGCGCGTTTGGACAATCATAGCCATTCGAGAATACATTCTTTAGTGCGTTTTGACAATCATTTGAGCGATTCAAAATACAATAACACAAAAGAAAAAATCAATACTACTTTTGTATTTTTGAATGTTCATGGATAAAAAAAAGCTAAAACATAAAAGATTGCTCAATTTTCAGCATGAAATTGCCGTCGGATTGTACGTCTAAAATTATAATATTACCGCAATCTTGAAGGTAGAGCGAGAAGAGGAGAAAGGCAGAGAAAGGGCCTACAGGAGAGTCTGCGGTCAAAGTGGAAGATACATGACTGTTGCACTCGCTATTTCACCGACTAATGGCCTTGTCTTCCACTCTTCAATTATCCGATCAATTAGGAATGAATTCGCAGAAATTTAACGACTTTATGGCAAAGACGCGTTTTAATCTTGATCCCGATGAAAACGTCATTTTCATTTACGATGGTGCCCCAGCCCATCACAATCCAGTCATTCCAGGTGCAAACACTGAGATGAAAAAATTGCCGCCTTACAGTCTATTTCTAAACATCGTGGAACAAGCAATAAGCTCCTTGAAAGCGGCGATGAAAGCAGATATAAGTCGTCCCGCAATACAACAAGAAATGAATAATCGAGATGAAGCAAGAAATCAAGGCCTTGCTTTGGGCCATTACCGCACACAGCT